GGGCAAGGACGAGGACGAGGGCGAGGACGAGGACGAGGACGAGGACGAGGGCAAGGACGAGGACGAGGGCGAGGACGAGGACGAGGACGAGGACGAGGACGTACATTCATCTGTGAAATTTTTACGTTTCCACGCGAATCGAGGATTCCTTTGCCTTTGGTCCGATTCACCTGAGGAGATTCATTCAAGATCCAAACATGAGGAAGAAGACAAGATAAAAGCAGGAAAGAGAGAAAGAAGGGGGGAAGAACGAAGAGGAGGAGGGCAAGGAGGAGGACGAGGACAAGGACGAGGACGAGGACGAGGACGAGGACGAGGACGAGGACGAAAAGGTGGACAGACGAGGGATGAATTCTGCCTGATAGTTGTTGGGGGTGAGAGGTCTCTTCCTAGCCGTCGCTATGAATTTCTCGTTGTCAGTAGCGATGGAAGTGAAGGGCGTCCAGTCCAGCTGCTGCTGAAGGTACGGAGGGAAATTTCCGTCCTCGCACACTTCCGAGCTGATTCATGACGAGATTCAAAGGCTTTCCACATTTCCCTCCCTCCCCTCCTCTCCCCTCCCCCTCCCCTCGACCTTCCTGTCTTCCTCCCTCTCCCGAACTCCACTGACCTCCTCTCTCCCTCTCCTCCTCTTCCCTTCCCTTTCCTGGCCGTCTTTCCTCCCCTTCTCTCCTCTCTCCTCTTCTCTCCTCTCTTATCCCCTCTCCCCTCTCCCCTCTCCCCTCTTCTCTCCTCTCCTTCCCTCATCTTCTCTCTTTGCCTCGGTTCCTTCTCCCCTCTCCTCTCCCTCGTCCTCACCTGCACGCCAGACATCGTTGATGACCAGCTCGCACAAGTTCCCGCAGGCAGGAGTTATGGATCTAAATCAAGGTCATCCTCCTCCTTCTCCTCCTCCTGCGCCTCCTGCTCCTCCTGCTCCTGCTCCTGCTCCTGCTCCTGCTCCTCCTGCTCCTCCTCCTCCTCTCCTCGTGTTATCCATCACCTCATGACCGCACGCTGGAAGGCAGCAGAACCGCGAGGAGAGGTCGAAGACTGTCATGAGGTTTCTACCGCAGCAGCTGCATGCTATAGTCGGATTTTCTCGAGGGAACATGGCAGGACATCCTGCCGTGAATCGGAGAGGAGTGTCAAATACTGTGCGCATCCATCGCGGGAGGAAAGGAGGGGCGTTGACGTTGAGCACTTTGACTTGCTGGGAGAAGGATGTCAGAGGATGGAGGACGAGAGAGGAAGAGGAGGGGAGGAGAGCGGAAGTAAAGATGAGTAGAACGAAGACGAGAGGAGAAGAGAGGAAAGGAGAGGAGAGGAGAAGAGAGAAGAGGAGAGGACAGGAGAGGACAGGAGAGGACAGGAGAGGACAGGAGAGGACAGGAGAGGAAACACAGGAGAGCGAGCTAGCAGAGGATGGAAAAGTGCAGGAGAGGGGCAGGGGGAGGGAACACGAGAGGAGGGGAGGAGGAATGGGGACTTTGTCGTCGATGCATGTGGCTGAAGCGACGGCTCCGAGAACGACATGGCGTGATGTGTAGGAGAAACGCTGGTGCTCTTTCCCAGCCTCGATGTCAAGGAGGAGCCACTGATCGTACTCCCCTGGGACAGACAACGAGCAGTTGAGCAAGACTTTGACCTGCTGGGTGGTCAGAGGCATCGACACGAAGACGTGGAGAGCAGAGCAGAGCGGAGGGGAGCAGGAAAAGAAGGACAGGAGGAGGAGGAGAGGATACGAGAAGAGGAGGGAAGCAACTGATCACACAGGTCGACATCAGAACTCACTGTGACTTTGCCTCCTGGAGGAATCGAGATCGAGAGTTCAACATCATCGCACACCTGCACTTCTTCTCCTCCACAAGACAAGCTCCATCCGAAGAATCCATTCTCGGGGATGACATACGCGTGCTCTATAGTCACAGCATGCTGCTTGCCGTTGTGCAGTGAGAGGATCGCTTCCTTGCGCTGCCAGCATGTCAAAAGGCAGCGGCGAGGGGGGATGGCATCGGGGGCGACCAGAATCCTTGAACAAGGAGGGAAGCTGCCGAACTTGATGACGCCATCTTCCTGCTCCCCGTCGCTCCTCCAGCTCAAGAGACCACATGTCAGCCTCCCTGCGCGCTCTGCCCTCCGTCCTCCTCACCTCAGCTCCTGCTGCTGCCGCAGCTCCGTGACGTCCCTCCCGCTACTCAGCTCGTCCACGAGCACGTCGCGCAAGCTCCTGCCCCTCCTCTCCCTGCCCGCCCGAGGGGCTCTCCCTGCCTTGCCCTCACCCTCGCTCATGCTTCACATGGCCATCGGCAAGCGACGGGCTCTTCTCCCCCTCCCGCCCCTCCCCACTCGCTTCCCCCTGGCTCTGGCAATGGAAGGCAGCAAAAAGTAGCTGGGAAAACGAAATTGAAGTGGAGGGCAGTGGCAGAAAGGACAAGTAGAACTTGAAGTCACAGGCGGCAGTTAGACAGACAGACAGACAGACAGACAGACAGACAGACAGACAGACAGACAGACAGAC